ACCTTCAAATCGTCAATGAAACGTGATGGTATTAAAATCTGCGGTGTAAAGTAGTTGGACTTTGCAGTCAAACATTAAGGCATAAACGATAGCGTTGATCTAGCAAGAATATAATTTGGATTAAGTTGACAAGTTACGAAAACGCTTGTAATTTTTGTTAGTGCCATAATATTAATAGTTTTTATTTTCTTCATGATAATTGAATTATGAATGACTTTTCTATCTGCAAATACAGATAGTAGGACCTAATATACTATGTAGTATTTATTGAAATAATTATGTAAGTATTAATTTTTACTTGTCTTGTCAAAATTGTAAATTATAATTTCCAACTTATATGAATTTCAATTGTTTCCTCTAACGACTTTTAACATACTTATAATATTTCAATAATTATAGTCTCTGTATTCTGTTTTCTATTTATAAAACCGCTATCAGTTTGTGGATTAACCCAAAACCTAGTAATTCGAAAAACAGGCCCGCTACTCAATTAGCGGTGTCTCATCACTGCGTTTTGAACTGCATTAAGATAATACGCTGCACCGTTGCAGGTTTTAACTTGTGCAGTTTCTACTTGGTGATTTTATGACCTCCTAGCTTTGTGAGTTAAGTAGGTAGAGATATGAAATGAGATGTTTTAGAAGTCCAAAATCTGTGAGATAATTATTCATCAAATTACTCAAAATAATAGTTTCTCGATTTATTTTCTTGTGTATTTATTTACCTAGTTGTTTCTTTTTTACCTTTACCTAGTTGTTTAATTCTCCAAAGCCTATTTTTGCAATCTAAAAATATCATTATTATATAAAAAAAATATATTGATATATCTATTTATTCTTACCGACAAATATGGGTCGTAAAATAATAGTAAATTTTATGTGTAATAAATCTATTGTCGTACTCTCATAATATTGATATGACATAAAAATATTATTATTTTGCTTATATTAAAATACATATTTCAATATCAAACAAACTTTATTGACATTCACACGATAAAATCGTAAAATTTCTTTTTCGATTCGTATTGAATCGTTTACATTAAATTATTGCTTGTAAAAGTCTAAATAATTGTTTTAAAAAACATGTTTTACGGCCGCCATCTTGTATTTTTCGCACACATGAATTAGATCGCGACGGGATGTCAAATGATTGGGATATAATTAGACAAATCTTATGTTAAAACCATAAAATCCAAGTCGGCCTTTATGATTTCAATATTTAGTTCGTTTTATTAATTTTATAGACTTCTATTGTTAAATATATTTCAATCACATACTGGAATAATAAAAAAAGATGAAATGTTACCGAAAATGTCAACGATAAAAATTTGGAGGTAATCCCAAACTGAGGATATTTCGTTGGACATAAAATAGATAAAAAATGGCCTATTTTTGTGTTAACTAAACTAAAATCATTGTTCGTCGTCGTGTCAATGTAAATTATTTAATAAAAAATGCAAGATAATTAAATTAATGACATTCATACGCCCACGCAATACGTATATTTTTAATGTCAGCATATGGTAAAGGCAAGTTCACAATGTCAAGCAGTTACTTTTATAGTGTAAATATATTAAATAAACAAAAATGATTTTATAAAATCTTATTAAAATAAAATAACAAATATTCTAGTTCCTATCAACGAAATAAAATTAAAAAAATGTTGCCTTTAAAAAAAATTAACAAATCGGGTTGGTCATGGTTGACAAAATTCGATTTTTAAATTTAAAATACTTTTATAAACAAAGTTCAAGATTATCATAATTACAATTTGTATCATCCATATACCTATAAACTCAAACGTCACTAATAACTTAATCAATTTGAGTACTCAAAACAAATTGTATCTTATTCCCAACAAATAAAAGTCACAATATTTTTTTATTTTTACGCATGACGGCCATCTTTGTCACTTGTTGACGCCTCCGAAGCGAATGAAATTCGATATTCCACCCAAAAATAAGGCACCGTATTCACTCAACGATTTTTACACGTCCTCGCAATGTCACAAAATAAATGTAAATAAATAATTCTTGAATAAAAAATAAACAAAATGACAATCGCGTTCACAAGTTTTTTGCATCGAGTACAGATGCTAATAAAAGTGCGCTTGTAATGCATAAGCTTTATTTTTGCTGCTTTTTTAATTAATTGTCTTAGTGTGTATGTTACTATAGGCGTTCTGTAAAAAAGGAATGAATCAAATATTTTTTCTTGAAAGTATATATCGATTGTATTCTAGTGATATTTTGATTATTATTTTACTAATCTTGGTTTTACCTGTTTTGTAACTATATTTTGGAATGGCAACATTTTGGCAATTTATTTAAACCTTATAAAAATATGAGGTGTAACTAAAAATCTGCATTTTTAGTATCATTTTTTTTTTCATTTAATTTGAACCCTATATTCTAATAAAATTTAATAAAATATGTAGTTTAAATATATATGTAAGTATTCAAACTTACCTTTTAATTAGTCTAATAATTTTTTACTCAAGATTCGCTGTAACAAATAGCCTCATTGGTCTAGCCGGACCACTGGAATGTAACATAACCTCAAAAAATAAACATTGCACAAGCCACCCGATCTAACATCGTATCAAACATAATATTCAAACCGCACGCTTGAACAACGACTAATCTTTAATTAAACCATCCAATCAATTCCCACACGATGTAAAAATAACATTCTGTATAAAGAAAAAAATAAAAATAAAATATTCTATTTTATCTTCTTAACAATAGTGTAAGCTCATCAATGATCAGCTTGTGACCGCAACATAGTCATGATACCACTGTTCAGTCACCAGATCGGCAGTATCAAGTATCATTCTCTTCCGCAGTAGAAAACAGCATATCAAGCTAACCTATTCTCTAAAAAGTTATTTTATCGATTTTCAACCTTACCACATAACACTATAGTTGACAATCGATTGAATAAATTTAAGCTTTGTTGGAATTTCATGTACGGTGTGCATTCACACATGACTGTTGTAACGTCTGACACTTCACATGCACAAATGTGTTATTAACTTTTTTATGGGTTATAAATAGTTTTATTGATGTAATGTACGTATATACTAATAAGTGTAAGTGTTAAGTAAATAAAGATATATTTTTTTTATAATTTCTTTTACATTCGATATCGCATTGGAAAAATAGAAGGAATCGCGTTTTATTTTAAGTATCTTAAATTCTTGTTAATTTTTTTTCTAATTTGTACAGTAACTACTATATTTATAAATTGACTTCATTGACATATCTGTATAAATAAGAGAAATACCTATATAAAAACATATCACACACAATCATCATAGAAAGAGAAAGAATGAGCATTAGCCCACTCAACACTGATTGGCGATTTAAAACTTATAATTAAAAATTATAAGGCCAGGTTTCTACACGAAATTTTTCTTAACCGTTTGCCAGTCAAGTTGAAGTATATACAGGAAAAATGACCTATAATCTATGTAATAAATCGACTAACTTCTAACACGATATTTATAATACTCTTCAATAAATAATAATTCTTCCAACCAGATACCTGGCGAACTCCCGCGCATCCTTTTGACGCACCGCTACACTGCTCATGCGCAGGCACACCATAAACTCTACATGTTTATCCCTCTCCCTCCCACACGATCATTTAATATCACGATATTTTAATACTTTTGTGAACATTTATATGTCCCAGGGTGACTGAAGGTGGTCTCACCGTTTTGCATATTGGGAAAAATGTAAAAACGAGGGTTTTTGGGTGCATTTAACAAAACTTTGTTGATACTAAAATATTTGGACATGACCCACAGTGTCGTTGGCTGTTGCCAATTTTACTTGTCACACAATTTTATATTTTAGGGGAATTTGCTGACAACAGTGATCTGAATGAGTACAAGCAGGTACAACAGTTCAAATATCATAAACTCGTAAAAAATTCGAGATGTACATTTTTAATAAAGCAACTTCTTAATTTAATCTCCGTTATTACATCGGAATTACAGATAGCCACCAAGAACCTATCTCTTAAATAACTTCCAAGAAATTAAAATCCTTAATTATTTTTTTTACAACACCCGCCAAAGCCATACATCGGCGATTGTCAGTACCGACCATTTAACACCTTTTTGTCCTTAATTCCAATCCTAGAAACACGGCAAATAAACTTCCATTTCAGGAACATACCACGCTTAATGAAAATAAAACTAAGAATCCAATCTATTTAAAAAATAAACAATAAAATTCCAAAAACAAAGGACTCAGATTTCTTCGACGATACAGAACAGAGAGTTGGTAAAAACAATAATAAAATACCTTTTAATTCTGTAAAATAAAGTTCCGATATAAATTGTCCGGACAATGAAATGTTTAATGAAACAGAAGGTAAAGGTCAATTCGAGACTGCAGCTTCAATTAAAGAAAAAACCGTTGAGCTGATGTCGAAAATCGTTTATTTTAGCGTTTCTGGTATCGATAATAATATACAATTTTTGTTTAATGAACAATAAAATAATGGAGATGATATAGATAATGAATTAATTGGGTAAGATCCGAGTGTTGTTCATTTATCTGTATAGTCATGAATTTGATGTTGAAAATATTCTTACAGTTACTTCTCACGAATATGCTGCGGATGTATATCTTTTAACAATTAATGTTCCACATAAAACCACATTGGTTAATAAAAATAAAACCCTGCTACGTACCTTATTCAATAGTATTTAAGACGAAGGTCCAGTTAAAAGAATCGCTTTACAAAATAGTTATTGAAATTCTCTGCCACTAAATTCAACTGTCCTTTATTTCCAAAGAAAGAAAGCTAAGGCCTTTAGAAATACAGATTTTAAGGTACGCTCTAAATGTCATCAATTAAAACCAATTACAAAAGAAAGTGATAGTCGCCCAAGTATGCAGGTCACAATTTCTGATTCATTTTTTAATTATCAACCAATTTCTTTTAGAGGATACTGGTCTTTAAGTCCTTCGTTTAGAGTTGGGAATGCTTCGGTATAATGCTGTCGCTGTTGAACTAATGGCACTACAAATCCTCGGCAGTCCAGGCCAGGTATTGTCCTCTGAAAAGTTTATTTGCTCCTTACACCACTGTCGTCCGATCACCTTTTTACTTTTATCTCAGACAATTTTTAAATGGTTTATGTTTGATACCATTATTGTGTGCCAATCAGGTTGAATTACAATGTCCTTTACCAACGGCCGAACTGAGTAAGAATTTCTTTATTATTTTTGTTACAAATCATTTTATTTTATGCCTTTTTTAGTTTTAAAGTAAACAAGGCAGATGTTCGCTTTATTTAGATGAGCCCATCGAATGCGTAAGTTGAATTTAAATAACTCGTGTTTGAATTTACGGATGCTTGGCGACATGGAAAATTGTGGTGCTTAACTTATTTTTTCTCTTATTTCACTTGAATTTATGTGCCTTTAGTTTTGACAAGTTTACTTAAGAGATTCTAGGAAGAGGCTACTCGTATTTAGATTTGTGGGGCGATCAATTTTCTGGATGCAAATGTTTAGAAATCTCATCCTTTTCTGAATATAATGCCGATGCTCCTACTTCGTAGTTTTATTCACACTAAATTAGCATAAGCTATATTTTATTTAAAAGACTCGTGTTTCCTTAAACTGTCTTAACATTTTGCGAAACGTGCTCTCGTCTGGCAGAGATCCTCCGATCAATAATCTGGACATTAGCGGCACATAAAAGTCACTAATTGAGATATCCCCAACAATTTGAACTCAACGTTTTAAAAGTGTTAAGTAGTGGTTGGAGTGTGCAATAAATCTCATTGTTGGCACTCTTATCTACCTTACTGAGGTAGCCGATATGGGCGTTGTCAGTAAAGCGAAATTTAAATATAAAACGTAGTGTTGGGCCGATCACGGAGGTTTTATCTTGGACGGTCATATTTTGAAGTTTATGGAGCAATCTTGCTTTACGGAGAGTCTGAGTAAGATGTTGTTGGACTTTTTCGCTAAAAGGATCAAGCAGATTAAAAAAAGTATTTAATGAGTTGACCGTTTATCTATTGATGTTTTCTTTTTTGTTGATTGTGCCAAGTGGATTCGTTAATTCATACGTATTTTGCTTTATACATATAAATGTATGTAACATTTTTTAATGTTAGTGACGCATTATAAGAAACATTTATGTTTCGTCAAATTTATGTAATTTTCATTTTGAGGTGCCAGTTTATTCTCAATAATTGTTTGTCAGCTTTTTGTTACATTCGTCCTTGTGACATATCATTTGACCGAATTATTATAACAATTTTGTACATCACTTCTACTGAAAACTGACATGTTAACAATGGCAAATAGAAACGTATCGCCAACAAATTCAAACGTAACTACTAGCAGTTCACGACATAATCGTCAAAACAGTTTCAATAGCCAACACTTCCGTTTGCTCGATCAAACATAACAATAAATCAACTTGATCACAAGACAGACAGACGGACGTTGATTAAATTCCTAAAATGTCACTTTTATAATAAATAAAACGGGTTAACAGAGTAAGAAGCGATTTAAATAAAGATACTGAAGATTACGTAATCACAAGCCGGGAAAGGGATCACCGTGTGTGGCAATAGCACAACGGTAATGACTTATCGATAATCTTTTCATTGAAGAAGAAAATGGTGGGTGATTTGCCTTCAATTGTTTATGAGGTAATTAATAAAAATGTGTGCAAATCAACGTGTAGAAGGGATTTCTTTTCAGGGGTTCTGATGATAGATCTGATAAAGTAGATTTAGATTCTAGAGTCCAAATCAAATCTATCGGTTCTTCTTTGCTTTTTTTTTTGAAGAGTTTTGACCAAGAACCTTTTGAAATATTCGTAGGCTCTATCCGTACTGCAACACGTAACTGAAATGGTATCATAGCGATATAGAAGATAGGTTTTATTACAAATAAAAGTCCATAAGAAAACTATTAAAGATTATTAGCTTATTCCTGAATTACCTTATTTGGTTCTTCATTTATTACCATTGCATTCTCTGTATAGTTATCGCAATTTTAACTGTTTCATAGTAATAAGAATGTTAATTTATTATTATGACTTGAATACACATGTTACGTCATCGGGCTACTTTCTTCGGAAAAGATAAACAGGAATGTGAAGTTAGTGGTAGTTGGGCAGTTAGCTTTATTTTTGGAGTAAGAACCCTACGAAGATGGGACGAGAGGATTATAACATTTATATTTATTGATTTCTATCAGTTTTGAAATATCAACTGCCGGTACTGGTGAGTCCAGTAACGTAATTGAATATACATAAATATTAATTAGAACATTGTTAGTAGACAATAAATTTCAAATCCCAGAAAAATCGGCAAAACTTTTAATTCGGTGTTGCATGTTTCTATGAATGGCATTTCTTACTATCAGGTGATCCGTCTGCATGTTTGGAGACCTATCCATTATAAACCTGGACTTTTTTACTGAGAAAATTGCAATAGGGAAAAAATACTATAGAATATGAAGTTCTTCACACAAAACAAAAATAGTTTAAATATTTTTTTACTGAATAAAACGATCTACCGCTTCTAGTATACATCACTGCATGCAACGTCGAGAGCATCAATCAGAATTGAGTCTTATTCTCAATAATAATAAAGTAAGCACATCTCCTCCGTTGATCAGGACAAGTGTTTCTCAGAACGTTGCGTGTTTTTAATCGAAATAAAAGTAAGGACTTAAAACAAAGGGTTTCTAAGCTTTAATTAGGTTGTATTGAGTGGAAGACGAGGATCATGGCTGTAGGGTGATGGTGTGATACGGAGGATATTTGGTTCTTTGTTTTGAATAATTTTGTGTAAGTATAGATTAAGTAAGTAAGACGTGAATGATGGCACAAGAGTTGAATGGATATGGTGTAAATAATTATAGTATAGTCCGTGTAATTTTTGCTTGCCATTAAATTTATTGTTAAAAGTTTTTGATCTATTTTTGCGTTTGTGTTGGGTGTTGTTTAACTGATGCTCTTAAATAAGTCGATGTAAGAAAACGACGCAAGCGCTGGCTGTAGTGTTTACGCCATAAAGTATACTAAACATATCAAAGAACTTTTTATTTTAATGTTCATTCGATGAAGCATCCAAGGTGCTGCTCAAGGTGCTTAAGTGTGAATGCTGATAGATCCAGTTATGTAACATTAAAACGATTATCTAAACGTCTCAATACTAAAGCAATTTATATCAATGATTGACCAACAATGTTAATAAGACAAGATACAAGAATGAAGCCATTAGCGGAATCACTAAAACTAACACCGTTTCGCGATCTCATAAATCACGGACCAATTTGGACCTTACCATTAAATTGTCAGAGTTGAAACTTCCATAGCATGTGTGGGAACAATTTATCTTAGCGTTCGACGTGGATGCAATTAATCAAGAGCCAATGTCTCGTACATAATATAACCGAGGTAAAAGAGAAAAAGATGATTTCAGGCTAATTATCTTTGATGCTGTTACATTTTTATTTTGCCACTTAACACCTACAGGGGCAATTTGTCGCTTGTTACGTTACGCTATTGAATTTTCGGGATCCTTCATTGTGCGACTACCGTCTGTGAAGCTACTCCATTTATTTCCCATATGTCCAATACTCATTTATCATCGTTCGTATTTCGAGTGTTTATTTTTATAATGAGCTCTCGAAAAGGTCAATTTTGCGTTTATATGTGGTTTTCTTTTTCTTTAACCGAGAGGGTGTTTATTTCTTCTTAAATACGTTTAAGATCAGTTGTCGTGTTCGCAACCTGATCTCATTATTCGGGACATGTAAGAAAACGAAGGTGTGAAAGGCTCCAGTATAAATAAGCAGACATATTCATTATTTATCGGCGTCTACTTTAAATAATGTGTTTAATTTAATTTATCGTACACTTCCTCGAATACAGTGTGTGTTCAAATTGACACTTATCTTCCTTTTTGCCAACTCACACGCTTGACTCGCCGGTAGCGTTATTAATATAAAAAAAGTCAATCAACTTAAATTTTGAGAATCTGATGAGTTTAAAACTTTAGTAACACCGATGACAAAACTCTTAGCAATATATTATGATAAGCAAAAAGAACAATTGACAACAAAACAAAATGTATCAAAGTTCAAAAACATCTGAAACATTTACTTCCTCAAAGCAATCATTTAGAATTCCGATTCCATAAGCAACTGAACATTAGAATATAACGGTGTCCAACGATACAATGTCTAGGGACTTCCTATTGCTGTGGGACCTCACAGAACCTTGATCAATTCATCGAATTAAATACCTTTAATTAATTACGATTGCTATCTCAGCTTAGCCTGTAGTTGGCAATTAGTCCTGGTAGCTATCCTTTGTTACGACTTACATGACAGCTAGAGATCCTGTTCTAAGCTCCCTTCTAAGGTTACAAGCCAATGAATGCCACCGATGAAGGATTCTGGTGGTCTCCGATAAGATAGTGATCAGTTTTTGGACGTTGTCTAATACTGGAAACACGGTTTGCAATAGCCTTATCAAGTTTAAGATAATTTTGAAATAGATTTTTGATTTTGTGCGTGAAGTTTCGTCGTGTGAACTAGTTACCGGAGGTCCAATTGAAATGTAAAAAAATCCCTATAAGGCTCTAAATCTTTAAAACTCAATTTAATTCTAAAAGGCCGGCAACTCACGTCTCAAATCTTTTGGAAACTTATGGCCTGTTAGAAAATATTTTTCCACAAAAGTTGTAATTAACGTTAAAGTTGGCGTTATAGATATGCCAATTCTTGACGATATTAATAAATCAACTGTCGATAATAAATAGAAGAACAATGATGACAGTTGATGTTTAAAACCTGTTGGTCTAACACTAGAGAAATGAAAGGGAATTGATTATATAAGATCTGCAAGCCATATAGTAGTATTTTAATTGCGAAATATCGCCTACGCCATCTTGTCATACAAGGCGACGCATTGGTCAGCTGCCACAGTTCATGAATGATTGCTGTTGTAAGCGTTAACAATTTTTGCTATCACTGTTTTGTTTGGAATTCTTAATGCATTCTCAAGTTTTGCTTTAAGATTTATTCGTTATTTAGAATCAGAATGTAATGGTTGAAATACCTTACAGGATTTGTTTACACGATGTATGAATTTAGGCGTTTTTATCCAAACAACATTCATAGTTTCTAAGTTTTTGTTTCAAAATATTAAAATTGACCTAAAATATTATTATAAAACATTGTTTTTGAAACACCTTTTCTTTCTAAAAGATCCATGTAAAATGCTTATGATGATATGATACTTACAAAAATATTTTTTTCACAGATGTCAGCCATCGATCCTGATTGCGGTGTCAACGCCATTGTCAACTACACCCTCGGAGATAGCTTCGCAAAACCCCAGTTCTCAGTAAAACCAGATTCAGGAGATCTATGCGTATCAGCTCCTTTGGATTATGAAGCACACAGCGAATATGAATTTCCTGTCATCGCTACTGATAGAGGTTTGTTTAATTTTACCAGTTTATTCTTTATGTTACAATTAGCATTTTTTCTTCTGTATTCTTTTCATGTCTATCGATTTTATCAAATCCATATCTAAATTATTGATGTACTCTATTGTTTCATATTAAAACTTTTAAGCATTCATTGATATTCAGAACAAGGATAAAAATATCAAAAGATATTTCTTCATTTTTTTCCTTAAGCCTTGCTAAATATAATCTATGAATAAATTTAGCTGCTTGATTAATTTTGTATTAAGAAAATACATGCATTTTGTTGGAATTTAACTTGGAAGTAATGCCTCACCCATTAATTAACTTGTACATTCCAAATTGTAATGCAAAATATTAATGGTTTGATTAAGTGAACTAATAATTTTAATTATATTGCGGGCCTTACCGATCTTTAGAATTATTCTCAACGGGATATTATGAGTAAATTAACCTATGAGTACCGTGAAAGATTTTGAGATAACCTGTGTAGTTGTGGAACGTATTCTATTAAGAATATGATCAACAATTTTTATCGTATAGGTAATGTTTTTCCCATATCACGTACCTATAGTAGTAGTTATCTACCTGTTTTTAAACAATGCCATTTATTTCACAAGTCCCACTAGAATTTCAAAATATATTAGTACAATGTATATTAATGTTCTCTGTTCATTTATCTAAAGTGGGTTAACAACATTCCCTATGCAGACCTTTATTAATTTTCAAATAATTAGCTATACGCAACATTCTGCAGAGTACAGGTAAATTGTCTTACTGCAAATTATAATGCGGTCGTATTTAATCGAATTTTATTTTAACTTAGCCGAGATTATAATCCTTATGTACACTTAGATGATTTTATAATTTTATTGCTTGTAATAATCGTTAAAAGCTATTTCAGCATTTATTTTAGAATCAAATAATTCTAAATATATCACAGGAATTAATTTTTAATTACTTCAGTAATAACATTTATTATTTTGAGTACTTTTAATATTCTAAAAGCATGAATGCCTATAATCAAGGTCTCTAATTATCCCAAGTAAACTCAATATAAACACAATTTTAACAGGTTTACATAAATTACACTATCTTATTCATCCAATAAAATCCAGTCTCAACAAACGCACGATTGAAAAAAGGCTGATTTATTTCCAATAATTAAATTGTCACGATACTTTTACATTACATCATCAAGGCTCGTTGTCAAGGGTAAAGCGAAAATCTTTAAAATATCCACGATTTGCCGCGAATTCGAAGACCCATCACATTGGCGGGCCCGAAATAAATTCACCCAATGTCTGTCCGCGGTCGCAAAGTCAAGTTACCTGATTTATGGGGAGAGAACTGTGCAACTATCACTTGGTGTTTTTATTTCGTTAGCCCGAGCGGCTACTTTGTCTTTTGAAACGGAATTTTCGAGAACTTTTTCCAGTTTTTAATGCTGTGACGACTGTGTTTGGATTTCGGATTGGGAAATGTTTAATTTGTTGCTGCGAAATCAGTTTTATTTGATGAGAAACTGATTATTACTTTTATTGTAAAACACCCCAATCTACTAATGTAAATCTAGTAATATAAAAAGTATATAATAATACTATATTTGAAAATGATAAAATTTAAAAATATTGTATATTATTCAATTCAAACAGCTATGAAAGTGTTAGCAAACTCCCTACCCTTAACCTAATAAGCGACAATATTCCTTTAAAACTAGCTCAACAAAAATATATTCACAAACACAAGTCCGCTAAACGTGCTGACAAACGCATAAATCAACCACCTGCCAATTAGACATAGAATTACAAACAATACGAACAATCAATACCAATTATTTATTCGCAGGAGGCCTGTCGACGACCGCTATGGTGAAGATACAACTCATCGATATCAACGACAATGTACCTGCATTCACAGTTAAGGATTACAACGTGTCCCTGAAAGAAGGACGGATCTCCTCCGAGCCGATTATAGCTGTATCCGCAACGGACTCCGACTCTGGAAGATTTGGTGCCATTACATACAGAATTGTGAACGGGAACGAGAATGATGTTTTTAGAATAGATAGAAGTACAGGAGAGATTTTAGTCACAAAACCAGCGTTGCTTCAAGCTAATTTGAAATTTGACCTTGAAGTGTCTGCGACTGATGGTGGTGGATTGACTGCTCCTCAAAATGCTGTGGTTCATGTGTCAGTACTACCTGCTGGAGTTGGATCAGCGCTGTTCGATAAGCCCCGTTACAATTTTCGTGTGAAAGAAGATGTCAGAGTTGGTACTGTTGTTGGGAATTTGAAAGCTACCGTTGGTGATAGAGGTAAGTGTTCCTTATAAATTCAAATACTTAGATATTGTTAGTTTAATATATTTAATGATGTTTTTTGAGCGAGACGGCAGTAAACTTGTTATTTCATAGAACATAATAGGATGTAAACATACGTTATAATTTAAAACCATAATACTTTAACACCTTTAACGTATTGGTCACGATGCAACTCAAAATCTTAAATATGCACATGTTTCAAGTGATTTTATACTTTCTTCATCTTAGAACAAAATGAACTGGAATGAAAGTCTCGAGGAAATCATCGCATAAAGTACAAACGACTCAATGATACAACTACCGTTGACCAGCATCACCTTATAGCTTCATTTTGCTTTAACAAATTTATTGAAATCGTGCTCAAGAGGTTTCTATTCAAATGAAAAGCTTTTAGCGTCTCAGTAGTCTTTGGAAAGGTAACTGGGTTAGGTGAATAGGTCTGGAAATATAAAAGTGAAGTACTTTACATAATTAGAATTTTATGTTCAAAGACTTGTATTTTGTAGTAACGGGCCAGTGTTTTATGGAAATCGTGGTGAAAGTACAGAATAATGGGTAGTATCGAACTGTTATTTTATTTATTCGTTCTGTTAAACGTTTAAAGACTTTGTAGATGGTATGTAAACTGTTATCGATCTCTTAGAAACTTTTCCCCTGTATTAACTATTTTTGTGTTGGATTTATACATTCTTACGCAAATTGAATAGCCATTATTACGCAAATTGAAAATAATTCTCGTTCATATCATGTCTAAATGTTTGCCAATGACATTCTTGAAAAAATTAACATGTTTTTAATCATAATTTACATTGGTCCCGACATCGCTCCCAGCGTACTCCTCTGTCTTGGGCCGACCCCAGCGACGCTAAGATGCCTATACAACAGTACGTAATCGCCCATTGTTTTAGCAAAGATCACGAGCTGATGCGAGTCGGTGGTGCATCCACTTGGTAACTTTTATGAGCCCTTTTGAATTGCTGATGGGTTCTTTTACCCATTTTGAAAGGACAAATAATTTACACTGTGAATGCGACGGAATACATATATTTTTAATGATAGGTTCTTCATTGCATTTCGTGTGCGCTCGAATAAGCTGCTATCGTTTTATTTGAGATAAATCGTTGCATATTTTATCCCCGTCTTAGATTTACTGACTTTTAAATGGCATTACTACAATGCGAATGGTATTCGAAGATTTTTGAAAGCCCTTCGATAGCGTACGACATCTATTGATTTGTTGACATATTTTATTTACCTATATTGATACCTAAATAAAGGAAAACAGTTCGACCATTGATTAGATAAACTAGGTAATAAACCATACATTAATTGAACATTTACTTAATCCGTCTCTCACACCGTAATGTAACGTGACATGTATGACGATAGATATTTAATGTCGCGGAAAACCATTCGAATAGCTGCGAACATTCCTGTTTCAATTTATACCGTTAAGCAGTAATTATTTAAAGTTGCATTGGGTAATTTTCCCATATCTTCAACGGTGGAAATGCAATAATTTTGTATCAATGCGCATACGTTGCGCCGTTTCAAACAGCACCTATCGCAATCTTTGTTTATAGTAATACTGTTGTATTTGACCTATTTAGCCTATAAAATAGTGTAATAAATTTCCTATGTTAGCCGGACTGGCGAGAGATAGATTTCTGTTTGAACCTTTATAAATAGGCAAGCATTTTACTTGACGCTATTAGTTGTATTGACACTAGCATTTATATAAATTAGAAAATCGAGCTTAAATATTTTTGAACTATTACTAAGATAAATTAATCTCCTTTGCCAGGAAAAAGAACAGTCACTTGAATGCATCGGCATTTCCTATCTGTTTGCTCTCTCAAAAGGAAGCTGAGAATTGTACACATTGTAGTGTGGGAATATTATGGATACCAACTAAGTTTTAATTAGATATAAAAAATAGCTAGTGATCGCACTTCAAAGTTTTTATTAAACTAAGATTAGCATGCTTATCAGGAATTTAATTGAAATAACTTGTACTTACGCACCAGGCAGGATGTTATTGAAATTATTATATAACTTAACTAGAGCGACTACGATTGATCATAATTTTATCACGTATCATTCAAACATATAATTTATTTCCTTTTAACTATTCTCACGAGGCCAACATCAGTTTTATATTCGTCATGTTTGAATTCCAGTTCTAATTCCATCGCGGAAATGGACCTTGTGAAAAAATGCACTAAAAAATCATTTTAATAAATGTCTCTATCGAATGAGATTGTAATCTATCAAAATTAATAATTAATTAAAGAAATAAACATGTCTTTAATTAGTATCGTTGTCGTTATAAAATCGGGATTTTTGATTTTAGCTCTTAAAAGGCGCCTTTGATGCGTTTTAATGATGCATTTAAAAAGTAATAAAATTTCTAAGTAACTGCGGATTTGGGTTAAGTTTCAAATTAAATAGCTTTATGGCTATATTTATGTAGTTTTTGTCGTGTTTTAAATATTTAAAGATAGGCTTCTAATGTGTTATATGAATGGGAAATCGAGCTTTGTAATAAATTGAGATATTTTTTTATTTCATTTAATGTGCAGTATTAGTTTTTGTGTGTGTTTATGCACTGACAGACGACTTGTAAATGGGCTAGAAATATTTTATAAAGCTTGTTAGCTATGTTTATTTATTTATCCGGTATTTCGATCAACAATGAAACAGGAATAATATAATTTTCATTTTGAATATGTATATTTTGAAACATTAAATATTTAGTACATTAGAATTATGTATTATAATAATAGAAGTATTCATTTACTGTGAAAATGTGTAGTTTCTAAAAGCTAATACTCTTAAACACATTGCTAGTCTTCTAGAACGCACCTCAATGACAGTGATACTAATTTATTAATTCTCTCTAGTGATCAAATCTAATAATGCCTTTATTTCTTACCCCTGCTTTTAATTGCAGTTAGTTTTAACATGTACATGACGTATGTACTGTATGTAATTTTCTTAAATATTTTTTTAACTTCTTCATGGAAAACAGACTACTGTAAATTCATTGTATTTTAGATCACTCAATCACCCAGATACTCCAGTTTAAGGAAACATATCAAATCATTTATGTAAAGAACAGTTATGTTATATTTGTGTATCAATGTTATATTACGTTTTATGCTGTTATATTACAGTAAAGACAATAAAACATGTTCGGTATCTCACTCGCGACGGTGCGTTTGGATAATATTTATATAGCTAGGTCCGGGAGTAACTATTACACCGAACTGTAAAAGGATTGGTCACAGAATATGTTTAAAGGCTACGCTTGACCAAATATTTTTTATATGTAATAGAAGATATAGTTGTAGTCACATGCTCCTTGTAGATATCGATTGAATCCAGTGTAAGATAAGAGTTTTATTTATATGTCACACGCTTACTAATGGTCTGGCATTGAATAGGTTTACACTCTAATATAGTAATTGGCGAAAATGAAGATCATATGATAAAACGCTATTTAGGTATACATTTACCTTTGAGAATCTGAATTTATTATTATCATCTAGATTGTACGTTTTTATCAGATAGGGCTGCAAATGAGCTATCTTGTCACGTTGTGGCAAGCAATCGGCGCTATTCATAGACACCCGTAATATCAGAGATTCGAGGATTAAGGAACTAAAGTAAGTAGAATTAGGAAATAGGAGTGAGAAATCGGCCTCTAAAAGCCTCATTCACACAATGAAAAATAATGCTGTGGTTGTTTCACGCCGGTATTCTGTAAGGCCGTGGTATCTCTTCGGTTGAGACAACTTATTCGTGCCAAAGTATGTCTCTCCTACACTTATTTCTCAGATTTACTGCCTGATTACCTTGAGAAGAAATTCCAAAGGAAATTCAGAAGTCACCATTTTTATTCCCACTTTTTGTCTTTCCCATCCAATTTTCACCTCTAAGGATATGTTATTGAGTAAAATTATAAATAATTTCCCATGATCATTACGCAACGGTGTCACAGCTACCCAGAGCCCCACGTTGTAAGTTCTAGCTCTGTAAATCACTGAATTGCTTACTCTACCGTTATAGTATGCTGTGCACTTGTCTATAGGAATTCTACGCCATGACTTCACTATTGTTAAAACATAGATAGGGACCGCTTAAGATTCATGGACTCTAAAATACCGTATATGTATGGATATTGAAATATGGATAATGTTAGTATTTTGATTTTGTATCGAGTAAAAATATTTCTTATTGGGTTCCGGAAGAATAAGTAATAGATAGTATAGATTTAAAAGTTCTGTCATCATCATCAGCCCATAAGTGCCCACTGCTGAGGCAAGGCCTCTTCTCACGCGGAGAAGGTTTAAGCATTAATCACCACGCTTGCTCAATGCGGGTTGGCGATTTCAAACTTATAATTAGTAGTTTCAAACTTATACTTATAAGTGCAGGTTTCCTCAAAAGTTCTATAAGTTCCCATAATATCTAAGTCTGATTTGACGTTCCATAATATTTTTGAGCGGAATGAAGCGAAAGGGATGATCAGTCATCAGTCTTACTTACTTAAAACCACCCCGTTCTTTATTCTGTTCTGGGCCAGGTCCATGGTAAATTACTGCGCTAGCTAGACACTGGCCCTATGGAACCCCATCTGTGGATGACTTGCCGAGACGAGCCTCAATAAAGGGATTTTCTGTGCCAAAGTCTCGTGTTTAAACTCAGCATCATTTAATTTAAGAAAATATTCAATCATATTAAAGTGTATTGGAAAAGGTTTTCTAGTAACAATAAAAGAGTTTAAATCCTTTTTCATTGTTTATTTTTATAATAATAAATAAGGAATATTCATAGTATTCATGAGATATCCTCTTATTCAAATATTCAGCGTAAGTCATTCAATAAATGGCCTGATTCCAATAAATGGTCTTACCCTACCTTTGTTTTATTACCCGACTACGGCAAAGCAAAAGGAGAGTTATGATTTTGACAGGCTATGTATGTATGTA